TGGTGAAGGGGTCTATGGGATAGGTCCTGTATTGGCTGCATTATCTGCTGAAAGAAGAGAATTCTATGCTTTGTATGCTCAAGAAGGATTAGATTTGAGTGGTAACAATAAGAAGAAGAAAGACAAAAAAGGGTTTGATAGAATCTTGAAGATTGCTGCAAAGATTGGGTTGACCATAAAGGAGACCTCAAAACACGATCTCAATATGGTTGTTAATAACCGTCCTCATCAAGGCCTGTTGCTGGATGCTTCTCCGCTGGAGATGGTAAAAATAAAAGAGTTGGATCCTATTTCTTCTCGTGAAGAGAAGGGTTCTCTATGGGTGGCTTTGGATGAGGTCACAGATCCTCAGAATTTGGGCGCAATCATAAGATCTGCTTACTTCTTTGGAGCTTCAGGGGTGGTCTTATGCGCCAAGAATTCAGCCCCATTAAGTGGTGTTGTGAGCAAGGCAAGTGCAGGCTCACTTGAATTAATGGAGCTTAGATATTGCAAGAATATGATGCAGTTTTTGGTGTCTTCATCTGAAAATGGTTGGCGAGTTCTTGGGGCCTCTGTTTCTTCAAAAGCCATTCCCTTGAATGAGGTTTCACCTGGTACCCCAACAATCCTTGTATTGGGTAGTGAGGGCACAGGGCTAAGGCCTTTAGTAGAGAGATCATGTACTCAATTAGTTAGGATTCCTGGAATTAATTCCATGGATGTATTGGTTGGAAGGACTGATGATACGACCAACACAGAAGTAAATTCTGGTTGTTTAAGGGAAGAATTCCAATCTTTTGTGGCTGTGGAAAGCTTGAATGTCAGTGTTGCAGCCGGTGTGTTTCTTCACCACTTCATAGGAAATGGCGGTAATAATTCTGTTGTCTCAAACACGGGATCATAGTTGTACTTTTGTAAAAGGTTTATTTGCAGGACACTTATAAGGCCTTTCCTGAAAGCAAATGTAGACTGGCAATTTTGGTTGCCATTTGAATTTTACATCCAGTGAAACCCAAATTGCTTCACTATATTAAGAATTCTTGGCCTTACTTTTGTCATCTCCACTTGAATTGTTTATTAACTCCTCTAATTCATTGATTAGCAAATGGAAGATATCAAAGTTGAGTCTTGACCTCGTGTTTATATTGATGTTGGTCAAAAAGAATTTTCATGGAATTCAAAAAGAATTACATTGCTTAGGAAACAAATGTTGCAGCGGCATTTCTTATGAAATTCTTGTAGTCTGGCCTTGTCAAATGCGGTTGCACATGTCAAAAGCAATTCTTTTGCTGCTTATTTGGGAATGTCGTTAACATGTTAACATGCTAATATCGTTGTAAATGCTTTTGTACACACTTCACATTTATTCTGGTACTACATTAATACACACTTTACATTTTTTATTTCAAAAGAAAATGGTAAAAGCAATTCTCTTGCTTGCTAGTCAACTCACCATGTCCAGAAAGTATGAAATTTCTTTTTTAAAATTCACTTTCTTTTTTTAATTTTGTTTTTCTACTTTTTTGCTGATTAATATTATGTCTTAGGTAAAAGATCAAAAGGAACTACTGTAAATATATATATAAATATGTATATTTATATATTAGCAACTACCGTCTTATATTTTTAGTCGTATTAATGTGCTCTCTAGCTATAATTATGTATCAAATTCTACTTTCTGCCAATAATTTTTCTTTCACTTTAGCAGCAACCATATTTCTAAGTTTCTTTTTCCTTTATTTCTGTCTTTTCTTTTTACCTCGCTTTCTTGTTTTTTTTGAAATATAAAGTATCATATCAAAAGCACCCAAATGATGCAACTTGAATACCCATATACAAAAGTTTTTCAAATCCTCACAAGAATTAGAAAAAGAAGGATGAAACTAAGAATCTTTCAATCCAACAAAAACTCTCTTATTCATTTCTTTCTGTATGACCCAAGTGTCGTTAAAGGATAAATCAAAAGTTTTATTGTAATTTTTATTTCCATATATATTTTTTTAAACTAAATATCTTCTTTTACAGAATTGGTCATAACTCGGTTTATTTTCAAAGAGATTATAAACGAAAAACTAAAATCGGTAAGCAATTAAACAACATGAGAGAAGATAATTTGACCTATGTTCTTTTGCATAAATAACATTCATTCATAATAATCTTTTCCCTCTTGTTCAAGATTTTTTACCTCCCTTTCTTTCCCACCCTTTCTCATCTCCCTTCTCACGGAGCAACAGATTCTCTTATGATCTTTCCTTCTTCCTTTTATGGGGAAAGTGGATCTTGAAGAAAGAAAGGTAACTGATTAAAATGTATTTTTACTTATCTCAAAAAGTGTTCTATATGCATATACATGAAGCTAGGCTAACTAAAACAAAATGAAAAATTAAAGGAACTGAAGGAAATAAGAAAAAGTAAAGAAAAGATTTTAGAATTATATAATTGTTTTAAAATGAAATTTTTAATAATATTTTTAGGAACATAATTGATTTGCATGAGTTAAATGAGATAAAAAAAAATAACTTAATAAACATAATATTTCTATTTAAAATTAGAAATTGCAACAAAAAAAATTAAAAATTACTACAGACTTTTTTGCTTAATATATATTGTTATTATTTGTATTGTTTAAATAAAATACTTAATTGTGCTTGTTAAGTTTATTAAAATCAATATATAGTTGTTATAACTTTTAAAGTTTATAGAGGATAAAATATGTAAAGAAATTTTTGTCCTTTTTTAATGGAAACTTTTGCAATTATGTAAAAAATTATTACTTAAAATAATTTCATAAACTTTACAGAACACATTATGAGAAATGGATCTAACTTTTAAAAATAATGATTATGCAATTGAAAATGGCCAAAAACAAAA